ATAAATTACCTCGAGTTGGGCCACAACATCTCGATCTTGTTGAAGCTGCGAGAGATACATGTACCCTGGCATACCGAGAGACAGTTTACAGATCCACTCGAAGTCTGCATCCATTCGTATCCACTCATAGGATTCCTGTCCCATTCGCTCCTCGTCCTCTTTCGTCCAATCAGCCAAACGCCAAGCCTGTGTTTCTTCTTCGGTTTGAAGCACATCCCCCAGGCAGTACAGCAGAACCTCTTCTTGAACTTCCGTATCGCCCGAGGCCACGGCTCTTTCTCTTTGTTTTTTGTTGCGTTTGAGCCTTTTGTACTTCGTGTTGTATGGAATGTCGAATTTCGTCACGCCCTCCTTGATCTCAACGATGTGCTCATAAGGAGTTCCGTCTGCTTCGTGAATCCGAAGGGTCATTGACCCTGTGAAGACCGGCTGCACTGCGCCCGCGTAGACGTGCCGGACCTCTTCCTTCACGTCGCGCAAGAATGAATCCTTGTCGAGATCTCGAGGGGGTTGGGGTTCAGATTGGACTTGTCTGATCATCATTTCAACTACGAGCTTCTTCTTGTTGAATCGCTGGGTTGCTTGGAATCGTGGACATCCCGCCCCGTATACCCATTGTTGGAAGAATACGTCTAATTTCGCATGTCCCAGTCGCTCACAGGTTTTTTGGAACAGGGAGGATGTGACGGCTCCATTGGGTATATCACCCATGCGAGAGTTAAGAAAAAGTCGAGAAATAATGCGAGACATCGTGGCCTTACCACTCGCCTTGGTCAGTCGGCGATCGAGAATGAACAAGACCAAAGGCGCTTTCAATGCAACAAAGCGATATTCGGAGGGGTCAACCTTGAGAATGTTACCCATGTCGTATATAGAGGGGCGCTCAAAGTCTAAGTCGCAGACTTGATCAGACATCTGCTTCAATCTGAAACGGTACTCGTTGTTTCCGCAAAGCTTTCTCATGAACGTGTCTGTAATGTACCATGCCACACCCACCGTAACCCACGTATCCGAGGGCTCCGCAGGAATGATGTTGATTCCAGTCCACTGACAGGCCAGACCGTGCACCTGAGCCCGAGTAGAGTCATACATGGGGTCGATCATCTCGGCTGGGAAGAGCAGGTGGCTGCTGCATATTGACATACATGCAGTGGGAAGGCTATCCGTTGGTAGATCGTCGACGAAACAAATCTTGTAACTGCCGAATGGATAAGACCCGTACGACAAAGAAAAGAAGTCAATCGCCTGGGCCATGGGAAAACTGCTGTTTTGGACTTCGTCGGCTCTACCCGGGAGGCAGAATGCGTGCAAAGGAATAGCATTTTGGCCAAGTTGCTCATCCTGGTCACTTTCACGGAAGTCGGCCAGGTTGACATACTCGAATGGACCAATGGCGAAGCCAATTTGCAAGGCTCCCAATGGTGAATATGACGCAAATGAAACTGTTTTGCGGGTGTGGTCTTTGGGATCGACAATGTCATCTGTCAGGTCGCCGGAGCACACCACTGACATATCAAGGCCCTCGTCGTCCGGAGAAAGTTGGCGGGTTGGCGCTTTTGGGCGGGATGGGGTCGCTGCACCGGCCGCATCTTGGGTCTTCCGGTCGAAAACATAACCAAGCGAGCTGGGACATGTGATAGAAACCTCCCAGGTACATCGCGAGGACATATCATCCACACATGGGAACAAGGGACAGCCGATACCAGACTCGAGTGAGTTAGTGGTGTAGGCATGAGGATACCGTCGATCACCATTTTCGACACCGACGAATTGTAATCCATCCCGAATATTGTCGATAACAAATTCGATGTTCACTGTCAAAGCCGTGAATCGTGGAAGGTTTGCCTCTGGCGCCCTGGTACTCGAAGGACCATCCACATTGTCAACAGTAGATTGTAGCGCGATTTGATCCTGTGCTTCGGCCGAAGATGGATCTAGTTCATCGATGCGGACACCCTTTGGAATTGCGATGGGCAGGGTAGGTCTTGGGGGAGTTTGTAACAGGCTGTGAATCCTCGGTGTCAGTCGCTCGTGATAGTGTACACCGTAGAGTTGTAACGACTCGTAGTGATCTGTGTATTTTGTTGTTGCAGGCTTGCCGTTAACGCTCAGCTGCTTAATCTCGCCTTGTCGAAAATTCAACCAGATTGTCCCGAGATCTCTGCGGCGAGGGTGAATTGTGATTTCCGTCCTTCCTTTAAGGCTTTTGGATGCTAGATCAATCTCAAGTTCGACTTTTTGATGTCCCACACTGAATCCCAGATCAAACTGGCGTGCCGCGGCACCAGCGGGCAGTTCGACAACACTCGGCATGATATTCTCGTCGAGGCCTGCGGAAATGATGTCCCAGAGCCTGTCGTCCAGTATCGTGAAGATTCCTCAGTGACGAGATGCGCGGGGAGCGCTTCGAAGACCATCCACCGTCATATCCAACCAGACTCAATATGTGATTGTAGTATTGAGGGCGGAAAAAAAAATCGAAGAGCACTTCGCGTGGCGCAGATCGAGCTCCAGATGACGATGAAATGCGAGATGGGCGATTACGCGATTATGGTGCACGGTGTATCGCACGGCGCTGAGGTGGATCGTAGGTTAAAGGAAGATTTAAGTGAGGCGCAATAGGAAGATCGAGGGCAGATTAGCTGCAACAATGCGACTCAAGTCCGAACAATGCACTAGCAAATCCCGTGTGGTCTCAGCCAAGTTGAGCTTCCCTTGTTCGCGTTCCCGATGCGGAGCAAGGCACGTGATTTCAACCTGAAAATCCATCTTGAAACGCTTCCCACCTCTCCTTTTCTCCACGTATTCTTGAGCGTCGAGATTTGTGTTTAAAGGCATGATTTGATTCGCTGTGCATTTATCCATTATACCCACTTGTTTGCCGACCGCGCTATGAACTGAGGTGCTGGTGTTTCCCCCGACTATACCACAACTTTGCGCGGTGACACGGCCTAATCTTCAAAAATGAGCGCGATATATCGCATGGTCCAAGGTTGGTAATATGAAGCCTTTGACTAGCATATTTGTTCCGACTCACTTGCTAATTCGAACGTTCAACTCATACAGAGACCCAAGATTCCCTCTCCGACGAAGCCCTGCTACCCCTTAAGTCCTACAAATATTCGAGTGTCGATAAGTCGTTCATTTCTCGGTATATCTTGAAGCACTACGTATGACAACCTTACCTTGCCCGAACATCAACTCGGAATAAACAATTGACTCTTCCCCTAGTGGAATGCCTTCGTCGAACTTGTGCCGATGTGGATGGCCCCGAACATGGTGACCCTTCTTGGGTTCATGTGGATCGTGGCCAATATCTTCATCGTTCAGATTTTCGTCCCAGATATGGTGGGACCTGTGAGTGTTCCTGTTCCTTATTCGGTGGTTTATCGGAAGTGGCGAGTTAATCGGAAATTTCAGGGTCCCTCTTGGATTTACTTCAGCTTTGCGCTTGGCTTGTGGATGTGAGTGACCGGCTATCCCTCCATCCACGTGATTCTAACTCATACGAAATAGGTATTCGACCCTCGACAATGTGGATGGTAAACAGGCACGCCGAACCGGCACGTCTAGCGGACTCGGTGAACTTTTTGAGTTTGTACCGCCCTCCGAGAAGCCATGGATGGATCACTAACCAGGTACAGTCACGGTATCGACTCGTTGAACTGCACCCTGGCCAGTCTGCTTTCTACAGCCGCAATGGGCTATGGATCGTCGCAGCTTGGTGCTTGGACCGCACTCGTGCCTTGTCTGGCCATGTATTTCTCGACATGGGAGACGTTCCACACCCACACGCTCTACCTCGGCTACTTCAATGGCCCGACTGAGGGCCTCCTTATCATCTGTGGAATTATTATTTCCTCCGGAATATGGGGCCCTGCGATGTGGTCTAAACCCATCATTGGATTCCTTAACTTCCCCCAAATCTTCGGCAACAACTCCGTCAAGGACCTCTGGGTCCCATTTCTCATGGCTAGTTTCTTCCTCGCACATCTCCCCGGGTGTATTATGAATGTAGCTGCGGCGCGTAAGAAGCAGGGTCTGCCGTTCGCCCCGTTGCTTAAGGAGTTGGTGCCTATCCTCGCCTTCACTTTCTGCAACATCGCATGGCTGTTCTCGCCTTATTCGACTGTTCTTTCTGGGAACCACCTCATTTTGTTCTGCTGGATTATCGCATTCGTCTTCGGACGAATGACCACCATGATCATTTTGGCCCATCTTCTGAGACAGCCCTTCCCCCTTTGGACAGTGATGCAGGCTCCCCTCATTGCTGGGGCGGTCCTCATCAACCTGCCCATGATCGGGTTCCCGGTCATTGCCCCATGGCTGGAACTCCTATATCTCTGGGTGTACCTGGTCTTCGCCCTGGTTATCTACATGCATTGGGCGGTCCTCGTCATCAACCGCATCACCACTTTCCTCGGCATCAACTGCCTTACTATCCGAAAGGATAAGGCCGCTGCGAGAGACAGAGCCTATCGCAACCTCGGTGAATCGTCCCACATCGATCAGTCTCGCGCTTCGACTGACACATCCAAGACACATTAACTTAGTATGCGCCACACTATCTTCTATGGACGAATTGACGATCGACACTAGTTCCCCGTTAGAGTGGCCAAAAGCGCCCTGGCCGGCGCATTGTTTAATTGTTCAACCTCATTGTAATTATGAACATGTCCATTCCTTCTACGTGTGTTATCATCTTGATATGATGAGAGATATAACAAATCCCAGAGGGGTGGATTTTGATGAAATCCAGCATGGAAATTGTACCCTGCTATTCTGCGCTTCTGTACTTACAAGATTATTAATATTTGTGATTAGATCCAAATGAATCAAATGAAACCCAGTTCAAGTTCATTAATCGAGAGAAATAATACAGGAAATTAGAAAAGGTACGCCCAAAGAAGAACAATCAACGCTGGCGAAAAGAGCAAAACAGAAAAAATCACAAAAACACCGCCAACAAAAAGTTCAAATGGGATTCTGCTCCCAACTTTTCATTTGTTTCCTCCAAGTCCAAGAGCGTCAGTCAGACCTCCCAGACCAAGTCCATTGATTATTTTATCCAATCCAAGACTGCCAAGCAGTCCATTCAACAATCCACCGAGACCAAGACCATCAAGCAGACGACCAACCAAGCCAAGCACACCAGTAAGCAACAAGCCAACGGCAGCGATGATCTGGAACAATGGCTCAGAGAGCAGACCCCAGAGGGGGTTCAGCGCTTTCTTGGCGTGAGGCATATCAGCAATGCGTTTCTTGCCGTTGTCAATGGTCTTGACAACCGTCTCAGTGAGCTCCTTGATCAGGTCGGCAAGCTGGTACTCCTCAGGAGTGGCATCGCGAGAAGCAGCGCGCGCCTTAGCGGTCGCGGCGATGCGTCCATCGGGGTCAAGTGCGCGGATGGCTCCGTTGCACTCTTGCAGAATGCGGCCGCCTTCTTCGAGGAGCGGCTTGACGGTTTGAACAAGCTTCTCCTCGTCAAGGTCCTCCTTCTTGGTGTGGTCGGCTTTATCGCAGGCCTGGAAGTTATGTCAGTATGTTACTTTGAAGTCTTCAATGTCGGGTTGGAACTTACCTCAGTGATCTGCTTGCACACAGGCTTGACTCGGTCAAGAGTCTGGCTAAGGATAGAGATCATCTTCTCGGCGAGCTGTCGGTCGGACTCGGCCTTCGCCGCAGCCTCCTGTTCTTCGGCCGTGGGCCCCTCCTCCTCGGGCTCGGGGATGTTCTCAAGCAAGGTACATTCGCCGATCTTATTGCCATCGTTATCAATAACATAGCCGTTATCATCGATACTCTTGCCGATCAGCGTGGCAAGGTTACCCGCAGTCAGCTTGCCAATAAGGTTGCCGTCCTTATCGCGGACTTCGCCCTCCTTATTAACCTTGCGACCAGACATAGGGTTGACATCTCGCTTCTTCTCCTCAGGCTCCCAGCGCTCGGCCTTACCGATAGAGTTGCCGTTCTTATCAAGGACATCACCCTCCTCGTCAACCTTGCGGCCAAGGAGACGCTTGGCGTCGCCTTCGATTAGACGTCCGATGATCTTGTCACCGTCTTGTACAACTCCATCCTTACCGACAATAGCGTTATCGAATCCAAAGAATGGACCTTCAGCCTTATCTTGCTCAGCGCCAGGGATAAGCCCGGCGCGCCCAACAACCTTACCATTGTCACCCCAGATCTGGCCCTTGCCATCGACCTTGCATCCAGCGAGGCGCTTATCACCTTCGAGGATACGTCCAACGACAGCACCAGTGGCGGGGTCAACAACGTTACCAGACTTATTAACGACCTTGCCATCGAGAATAGACAGGTCTTCTTCAGGAGCGGGCTCCTCCTCAGGGGGCTCGTAGGGCTCAGCACGGCCCTTGACATTACCGTACTTATCGGTGATCTCTCCATCCTCGTCGACAGCACGACCACGAAGCTTCTTAGCCTCGCCTTCGACAAGCTTACCAACAATGGATCCCTCATCATCCTCGACGAATCCATCCTTGGTCACAAAGAGGTTTTCCATGCCAGCGAAGATACCCTCGGGCTTGCTCTCGATCTCATCCTCGGGGATGAGCTCCACACGGCCAATGACCTTCTTTCCGTCGTAAATCTCACCCTCGTCAATCTTCTTACCAGCAAGCTCCTTGGGGTTACCCTCGACAACACGGGCAATCGGATAACCGTCGGGTCCGATGACATAGCCAGCCTTATTGCAGGTAAGGCCATTGACAGCAGAGAAGTCAGGACCAGCCTCTTCCTCCTCCTCGGGCTCTTCCTCAGGTTCAAGGCGCTCAGCCCGTCCAATGACGTTGCCCTTGCGGTCGAGAATCTCGCCATCCTCGTCAACGCCACGCCCGCTCAGTTTCTTCGCATCGCCTTCGATCAGACGGCCGACGCGGGTCGAGTTCTCGTCGACCACAAAGCCGTCTTCACCGACAACGAGGCCCTCTAGACCGGAGAAGGGGCCTTCGTCGCCATCGTGTTCCTCGATCGGGAGTGCCTTGGCTTTGCCGATCACATTGCCGCGGTTGTCCCAGAACTGGCCCTTGTCGTCGAGTGTTGAGCCGAGCTTGGCCAGTTTCTTGGGGTCGCCTTCGGTCACTTGGCCAACGGGCTTGCCGGTTTCTTGGTCAATGATGTAGCCGAGCTTGTTGCAGACCTTGCCTTCGAGGGTCTCCAGTCCGGGGATAATTTCCTCGGCGTCCTCGGCAGCATCCTCGGCGGTGTCCTGGGCATCTTCGGCGGTCTCTTCGGCTCCTTCGACCTTGTCGTCGAGGGCATCGGTGGCACCTTCGGCGGTCTCTTCGGCAGTGTCCTTGGCGTCTTCGGCGGTCTCTTCAGCGGTATCTTCGGCGCCTTCGACCTTGTCGTCGAGGGCATCGGTGGCATCTTCGGCGGTCTCTTCGGCAGTGTCCTTGGCGTCTTCGGCGGTCTCTTCAGCGGTATCTTCGGCGCCTTCGACCTTGTCGTCGAGGGCATCGGTGGCACCTTCGGCAGCATCTTTGGCGTCTTCGGCGGTATCTTCGGCACCTTCAACCTTATCTTCGGCGGTATCTTTGGCGTCGTCGACATTGTCCTCGAGGTTAATCTTCCCATCTTCGGCGGTGTCCGTAGCATTTTCTGCGTCGGGGGCGGCATCTTCGGCAGTAGACTTAGCCTTGTCGACATTCCCTTCGGCATCGGAAAGATCATTCTGAGCATCCTCGTACTGATCCTCAACATCTTCCTTCGCACCATGGACCTTGTCAGTGGCATCACCAGTGGCATCACCAGTGGCCTCTTCGATGGCCTTCTTCTGATCCTCAACAGGAATCAAATCAACACGGCCAATGGCATCGCCATCTTCATCGACAATCTCACCGTCGTCATTGAGGGTATACCCGATAAGATCTTCAGGGTCACCCTCCACAATGCGGCCGACAATCTGACCGGCAGCGTTCTTGATAACACCGCCATCAGAAACAGGAAGGCCTTCAAGCTGAGCGATATCCGTAACAACATTCTCGAGATCAACCTCTCCGACGTTCTCCTGAGCGTCATCGGCGGTTTGCTTAGCTTCGTCCGCGACCTCGTGCAGGATATCGACGCGACCAATCAAATCACCTTCCTCGTCAACAATCTCGCCGTCATCGCCAACAGTCTGTCCGACGAGATCCTCTGGATCCCCCTCGACAACCTTGCCAATGGGGTTCCCATCCTGTCCGAGGATATTGCCGTCCTCGGCGACATCAAGACCCTTCAAGGCAGACAGGTCAAACGGCACGGGTAGGTTATCGGTAGCAGTCTTGGTGGCATCTTTGGCCCCATTTGTGACACTTTCAGTACTCTTCTTGGCTGTCTCCTTCGTCTTGTTGGCGACATCCTTAGTCTTACCGGCCAAGCTGGAGCCGCCGCCGCTGAGTGGGGCTGCGGAGCCGGAGACAGAAGGCGCCTGGGATGCGGCGTCGTCGGGTGGGGAGACGGGGCGGCGCTGCTCGGTGCGTCTCTTTGACTTAGGGGAGGGTGTCTCTGGGATGGATTGCTCGTCGACGTCGTCTTCGAGTGGCTCGGGGGCTTTCTGGGAGAGCTTGCGGGGTGTGGCGGTCTTTTTTGTGACCTTGGGGCTTCCGGTGACAGTGCTGGGCTTGCTGGCTGTGCTGGAGCCGGAGGCTTTGCGGTCTTTGGCGGGGGTTCCGGCCTTGGAGCCCAGCTTGGGGGTGCTTTGTTCACGGCGGGGGAGGACATGGTTGTTTCGAGTTTGGATATTTTGGTTTCAGATGAATTGTTGTGTTATACAGAAATCAAAATCCAGTCGGATAATTGCAAATTGGAATGCAGTTGTGTCCGCTAAAGGCGTGAGTATACTTCGTAAAGGCGTATGTGTGAAATATAATGTACAATTCCCGGGAACAGGTATAGTTCGGGAGTATAGTAGTTATGTTGTTTTTTCTAGATGATAGAAATAGAATAGGAATGAATAACGAAGAGAATAAATCCTGGAACGATTACTGGTGTTTATAAGAAGAGGTCAGTGACTCTGATATCATCGCAGAAGTCCATCATAGCTGTCTACCTAGAAGCTGTAACCAGGCAGGACACATGCAGAGCTTACTACGTCATGGACCATTGATATCATAACGCCTTTTCCTATAATCATTTCTTGAAATCCCAGTTCGGTGGATCGGCATAGAGCTAATCTACACGATGCTCGGTTAGGGCGTGATAGGCGCCGTTAGAATACCATCATCGGCATCATTGAGCGGGGCAATTAGACGTGCCAAGCAGAGATGATTTGTCTGGGAATTGGTCGATCGATGCGATACTTCCAGGGTAGGCTCACGAATCAGAGGCCCGAGACTGGGATATTGAGGGGAATGTGGCTGAATCTGAGTTAGAATGAGGGTGGAGGTGGAGCTCTGTGCTACTCCAGCATGGAGGCATATATGTCTGATTCGTTGCATGAATAACTGCAATATCGAATCCATCCATGCCATGTTCCTGGCCAGGTACGTCAAGTCCCAAGGTTCTAAATTATCTGGACAATAAAATATGCCCAAAGCAACATGATTGGTCAAATGGTAGCATATCCATGGATATTCCCCGAAACCACGCTATGCCAAACGTGGGCGAACAAATCACAAAGAGCTATCAGAAAGACCACATGTGCATATGTGAAAGTCGCCTCCGCTACCTGTCACTGTCCTTGTTTCAGGAAAAAATCAAAGGTCACCAGCTGCACTTCGAATCGCATTACATCAGAAGTCATATGAGAACCCTTGAACAGTGCAACTATCCATAACTCGCTTCCCCACGTAAACAGTTAATATACAAGATAGGAATCATTTACCCAGATTGTTCAATGACGATGCTCAAATATATTCGCATTCGCATATTATTCGCAAGTCGTAGATTCAGCCCTAAACAAGAGAAACCCCAAGTAAAACCGGATAATGGTCGGGGTAGGTCCCTGTCAGAGGTATGAGGTATGATATCATTTCAATCTATTTGGGTGGAGAGTTCAGCCACACAAGTCATTGGCTGATATCATCGTGCAAATTCAAGAAATATTGTTTCAAAGTTCCATGGTATTCTCTAAATGGTAGACTTGATATCTTGTAGTTGCAATATACTATATTATATTGTAACTCGTGCAACTGCTACTCCGCATGTACGCGAATTCTCCGGTTATCAACTACCGAAATCAAAATTTGCCTCCACACCTCTTGGCGTCTGTGCATTTTTTTCTTTTTTGGATCGATCGACTCTACGAAGTATATTGAATGATATTGTGCTAAGATACTAAACGATAGCAGGGCCTTGAACATATATTGCAGGATATAAGATGTTCTCATCCAAATCTGACACCCTATTCTTGTTTTATATTCTAGAGTCTAGACCAACCCTCCATAATATAAACAATACTTGTATTTGCTCATCCAATCTCAAGATCACTCTATACTTGACTCCCGATCGAGATCGATCGGTGTCTCTTCTCGTTGGTACACCCTGAGCAAGACTTTAGTGTTCGCCACCGACTATTGCCCGAAATGGATAGGATGAACAGAATGCATGGTACTCTAGCCACAACAACGTATGTTCAGAAGTTAAAATAAATTGATAGTTGCTCATCATGGACGCTTTATTTTGTACAACCAAAAATAAATTCGTAGCATTACCTTGGAAGGTAACTATGGCTGTGCTATTGTGGCTGTGCTGATAAATTATGTAATCAGGGTCTGTGGCGGGCCATTTTATAACTAGTCCGTGATTCCTCCTGAGAATGCATTAGAAACACCAGGATCCCCGCCCCGGGGCTCAGAGCAGTCACTGAGGAAGAAGCGTCCAAGATTATCCCGTGGAAAGACCACTGTGCCCTCGCAGTCCGCAGTTTCATTAACTTCTTCGGGAAACTGTCCCGATCCAGCTCGATATTGCTACATACCCATTCTACACAGATGAATACAGTCGTCACTCAAGGCTAGAAGGCTTCACCACTACATCTCCGCGGAATGTACTCCGTATCCGCGAGGTATTCGTGTCTCTTGGCGGCTCCACTCCGGCCCCGAGCTCCGCTATCTTAACGGCGAATCTAAAGTCGAACGTCTCCTATGATGTACTCCAGACTCCATATGGATCGAAGAATTATGTGCGATATAGTTGACTATTTGCGTTGGTGATGACATACGAAGTTTGCTTTTTGATACTAGAGAAGGGAGCGGCAGAAGTATGTACGACAATATATATTAGGCTTATGAATTGTTGAAATGAAAGATGAGTAGAACTGAAATCTCCAACAAGAAATGCAAAGTCTTCTATGTTCCTTGTAAAGCTTAGCAACAAGAAAGAAATAACATGGCAGTTCATAGAAACATTCTTAAATCCTTCAGCTAACAGACGAGGAGCAACGTCAAGATATCTGAATCGCGCTAGATGTGGCAATTATTTCCGTAACCATTGTATACGAGCGTTATTTTTAGTTGGAGAAGCTGCTTTAATTTCAGCCACTAGGCCCTAATTGAGGCCGTTATCCAAGGCGCTTGAGACCCACTGCTTAATAGACGCGGTCAGCTTCGGTATATTAAACGCATTTGATTGTTCGAGCTAGTATAGCTTTCTCGTATAGAATTAGGCTAAGCATCGTTAGCGTCGCCTAATCTCCACCATTTTAGGTTCCACCAGGGACCGATGTCACCCTGCCCAGGTACTTGGCCATTTCAAGCTTAGCCCTTGTAGTGTCGAGATGTTTTGAAACTGCCACACTTACTCCTTTCATTTTTCGTTTTCTTTCTCATGTAAGGTCTTTGGTTGTCATCCAAATTACATATTCTCACCTTTCCTTATAATTTTGAAACGGCGAGGGCATGATTCACAAGTGGTTCCTCTGGCTCGCCTGCCTGGCAGGGGGTGGAGTCGAGGCATTGTCACTCCACCAGCGGGATAAACCGGCAATTGTCAAGATCCCAGTCCAACGCGCAGCTAACGTTGCCACTCGGCTTCAGAAACGAATCTCTACAGTCTCGGCACCATTTGAAGTTCAGGTATGGCTTCCTTGCTGTAGTCTCTACATAAAATGACTGACCCCCTTTATAGGAGGAACCAGAATTTCCAAGGTTCTTTTCCAATGTGACTATAGGCACGCCGCCTCAGGAGATCCAAGTTCGATTGGATACAAGTAGCGGGTATCTCGCGATAACCGCGTCCAACTCAAACTATTGTGAATCGACAAACGAAGAAGGATACTTCAACATCAGTAGCTCCTCAACGTATCAGGTCCTCGATCACGATTTCAATGCGACATATTATCAGGGCCATATTCTGACGGGAGACTTCGCAAACGAGAAAGTGGGGATCAATGGAGCCATTATACCCGCCATGGAACTAGGTGTCAACTTTGGAATTGATGGTGACAATGTTCTTGGCCTAGGATACCTTGTGGGCCCAGAATCAGATGCCCCTGCGAGGATCCTCCAGGCCTTGATAAAAACCGGTGACATCAAATCAGCCGCGTACAGTCTGTGGATGGATGACTCCATTGGAACCACAGGAAGCATTCTCTTTGGCGGTGTCAACACGGCAAAGTACGTCGGAGAACTGCATACCATGTCTATTCCAGCTATCAACGGCGTCCACCATCTCCCCGTAGCCCTGGTGACAGGGATTGCAGTTCAAGCCGGCGGTGCCTCCAAGAACACGACATCCGATTTACCTTTCTACGTGGCTCTGGACTCGGCGGTGTCATGGACATATCTCCCAGATGGAGTTGTCGAACAGATCTATAAAGACTTGGGTGCTTGGTATTATGGCGATGTCGGGAGACTCAACTGCACCGTGGGACAAAAAGGCTACAATGTGACATTTACATTCAGCGATTTCGATCTTAGTATCCCAGTGAGTGATTTCATCCTGGGGGGCGATGGCGAGGTATGCATTTTCAGCATTGTACCCAGTGGCGGACAAACCGCAGTGCTAGGTGCTACGTTTTTGCAGAGCATCTATGTGGTCTATGATTTGTCCAACAACGAGATATCCATAGCGCCGACAAACTTCAGCTCGGGTGAAGACAACATCTTGGAAATCGGCAGTGGGTCCAGTGCGATCTCTGGGGCGGCGTCTGTGTCGGTCACTACATCTGCCATAGTCCCAACCACTGTCATTGAACCAAATCCGATCAGATTTTTTCCTCCTACCTCCGTTTCAAGTGCCCAGAGTGCCACTTCGACTAGCAAGGGCGGGGCAATTGCTCCGACTGGAAGTCCCAACAAAGTTATGGCTGGTCTTATTGGTGCAGGGCTCCTAATCGTGCTATAATATTATCCGAGAAGGGTGAATCCATCCCAGTCAGTGATTCAATCCAGGGTGATTGCGAGTGGCCAGATATTCAGCCTTGTACCCGCAATGCTAGGTGATGTGGTTTTTGTAATATACATAAGACATTGAATGTGAGGGTAGGAGGTAAGATAGTAGGACCTTCTACATTGTCAGACTCTGTTATAAATGATTCAAATTCATCTCAGTCAGGGGGCGAGGTCTTATCAGCTTCCTCTGTCGCTTTCTTGGTCTCTAATGCCCCTCAAAATATAATGTTCTGGGGTTAGCTTGAGCCGCTTATCCAATATCAGTGCTCTACTTAACAAGAGAATAGAAAAGAACACATATCAAGGTCATGTGAGCGCACCGGGTCTAGACAGCGAGCCGGGTAATCACTGAGTAATCAACTAGCCCGATGGATAAGAGAGTCTCTAGTATCCTATAGAGAAGATCGCATGATTTGTATGAGTTAGGTAAACCAACGACCAAGTACTATAGTACAGGAGTTGGGAGTAATGAGTGCAGGATCGGTCCTCATAGGGCCGTACATGATCACATGACAGATTTCTGGGATCTCACTAGCATAGCCCGTGAATATATCAATTCGCAGGTAGAATGTATCAAGGTGAAATCTAGCAGCGAGGTGGGTCAAAATCAAACCCGCTCTTGTGGAAGAGCCCAATCTTCCGTATGGGGCTCACGCCGCCGAGCGTGAGCTTTCTTCCGCTGCCGTCTCTCTGGACTGAGTTTCGCCATTGGAATTGCAGAACATGGCCAGGAAGGTATCTCTATCAAGATCTCCATTGACAAGCCTACTTTTGTTTTTGACGGACCCACCGTGTAAATGATGCTCTCTGGTGGAAGACGAATCGTAAGCGCGGGCAACGTCTCCATTAAAGACCTGAGCAGAGTGATCGATGTCGGTGTTTGTATAACAGTGCTTGATATGGCTGGGAGATTGGATATTGTCGGTACCATCGAAAGAGGTGCTGTTACTTTGGCGATCTAGGGGTGGCGAGATATGATTAGCAAGGGATGAGATGGTTAAGTGAGCGGACAGAGACACCTTGATCATGACCCGGTGGATGACCTCTGACGAACCCCATGGAGCGAACTTGCTCATCCGAAAAGGAAAAGGAGCGCGTCTCAAGGGAACGGTCACGATCCTGAGTGTAGGTGGCGAGACCCCACTCACTATGACCTAGTGGAAGCTCTAGGGCCGAGTGAGAGGCTCCATGGGCATTCACCGAAGGATGAGGGGCCGATAGGTATGCTTCCATTTCCCGACTTGAGGGACCGGATGCTTGAGTTGGGCAGATCGGCATAGCTTATAGTAGCATGAGCGACTAAGGGTAGTAGAAGAGGAAGACCGTGGGAAAACTAAAGTGGGCGCGACAAGAGCCGGGGCAGACGGCTCTTAAAGAGCGTCCATGACAGGGGGTAACAATGCAGTACGCAGATATGCCGATAACGATCTAGTCGAATGCAGGATGATCAGATCACAAGTGGCGGCAGGTGCGGATGGTAATGAGGGTCTGATCGCCCAGGCGATTGGGCGAACCAAGCATAGGTATTAAACGACGGGGCGGTGAACTCAATCTGAGAGGCAATCGTTACGGTGGCTTGACATTAGTACCGGACTGTATAGATATCATAGCAGATGAGAAGATTGACAGGGGAAAGATTTACCCAGTAAAGCAGACAGGAAATTTACAAGGACAGATATATCTCGAGATTCTGCTGTCGGTCGCGACTTTCTTGGGGAGTACTGTACATACGAGACACTCTCCTCCCAGCAACCAAAGAATAAAGCGCCTGGGAAAAAGAATAGCGGACAGCCAAACACAGCAAGCCACTGCTGCAATTGAACAGCCTGGATGCATTAGCCCGCCGTATTCGCCTACGCGCCGAATCATTGATCGTAGGATTGTCTAGCCTCCAAATCACTTCGCATTAGCGGCTCTTCGATCCCATGGAACGCAGTGAACGCTAGTTCACTGCGCGCCCTCCGTTTTCCGGAGCTATACAGTAAGCCCGGAGCGATCAAGAGAGTGCCTGAGAACCATGTTGTGGATCCTGGGGTCGGATATGACTTCCGGAGGCGGGATCTGGAATGGGCGGACAATATTCGAAATCGGTCACTAATAATGCGTATATTTGACCAAGCCGTCTCCTGAGCGCTCAAATCCGAGAAACCCGCAAAGACGGCCAAATTCAGGGGCCACGTATTGGTCATATTTTAGTCAATTTAGTTATATTGTTATATTCCTTATATTAATAGCCCATTTTAGGGCCCACTTTTCATTTTGTAAATCAGACCCCACGTTCAGTTCCTAGCATCATACCCGGCCCTAGGATCAGATCCATGGCATGGTCCCAAGGCGCACTATTAGTCGCTAGTCGCTCTTAAACTACGACCGTGTATATTCATAAGGACGTAACAACGACAGCCCTTTCAAAAAGGGCATAGCCGGCACACCGAGGTTCGTTCTCCGGTTCGAGTTTGATAATTTCGGGTAGAGGCTGAGGAGCTATAGGTGAAGTTACGATACGAGAATATCGGTGAGGTATTAAAAATTTATGATATCCAGGGAATTTAGAGACAATCGATCGAAATATACTATTCGGTATAACAAATTTTATTCTATTACTTTATATCATCTAGAGCAGGACCAATTGCATTAATTACTTTAGGCTGCCCTATCACAATAGCATGGCGCAGAACCTAGATTAACGCTAAAAGATTGAGCGAGAAAGGCCTAAGGACTGATACTATGAGGCATAGTAGAGAGCTGTCTCGGGGCCGTCTTCGGGATGAAAAGAGGGGTTATCAGGTCTCTCTTGGTTCTCAGCGGCTTTTGATAGGCCCGAGAGACAGATACATAGGACTTTTGTCATGCGCAGTGACGCGAAGTTAGGTACTCTCTTTGTCATTGGCTACTAATATAGTTATAGTTTTGCGGCTGTCTACGGGAAGCACATAGGAACACGGGCCAGAGCGGACGGCGATTCCGCCTTCTCGCCCGGTCTATGGCGCACTTAACTTTTTTTTCATCTACTACCTATTTCAGCTTGGGCTCCATATAATTTTTCCAGGCTATTCCAGATACTTACAACCATAGTCGTCCGCTTAGACTTAAGCAACATGGGATTCGGTTCTAGTAGGGTGTGTGACCACCGACGCATTTATATTCAATCATAAGCTTGATTCTCCAACGCTTCGATGCATTCCCTCGGGTGCCTATTTGTATATGCTACGAGAACGAGTGTTCCAGGGGGCAGCAGTCCAATCATATTAAATTGTAGCTTAGCTGGAAGGATCAGTGCGGCAGTCGCGCGACTTGGGTGAGAATCCCAAGGTGAGAATATCTTTACTATGTAACTTTAGCTCTCGGGGTTCCATGGCCAATCATAAACTCGAATTAAACGCCTTCCATCCCAAATATGGAATTGTTACCACCATGCTGTACTCAGATTACATCAGGCCTTTTTGATTAGAGGTTTAGAATATCTCCTATTAGCACAAATATAGTTGTAGTTGAGTCCAGACATATGTGATGAGTATGAAACTGTAAGACGGTCTGGATAAACCAAAGCCAAATAAACCTAATCAATCAAGTGGTTCCCCGGCGGGCCGTGTCTTATGACCCACTTTCCAACGCATTTTCATTAGCTAATACAGCATGTCCATAACTAACTAACTAACTAACTAACTAACTAGTTAGTTAGACCTCGTTCTGACCGATCACAGCATTTTAGTAGGCTGTGAGTATTGAGCCTTGGCTAAGCCTTGCTTTGATAGGAAATTTTTGGACAAATAATAGTTGCTCTTCATGTCGGTCTTGATATTTCGAATATCTGGCAGCAGGGGCTATTTTATGAGCCATTCGTTTGCGCCGAGGTAATCAAGAGCAGTACTCGGATTTTTCCCACTAATATTTTCTATCTTGCATCGACTTCATTTTATTGCGAGATATTTTGATCATGATCCATTCTCTCTCCAGCCACAGAACCCCGAAAATCAGCCAATATGAGTACCGAGATGGACGAACTTAGCAAATCTTTCGGTGATCTTTCGCTAGTACAAACACTGGAAATGCTTGTGGAGAGGACAATCAAACCTGCCCTTGCGGTGCAAAAAGAAATCGAACGGATTCTTCCAACCGATCCTTATCTTGCCGGGCCGAGAAGCTTCGCGAAAAATATAACTTATCGAAAATGGGCTTACAAAATTTCCAAAAACTGCTCTGCGGGGTTCGCACATTCCCCTGGATCTTGCTTCAAAATCCAATACATGACCACTTGGAATACAAGGAGATGGTGGCAAAAACCAAAACTCTACTCTGGCTCGAAGTACAGTTGCAAAGGCTTGAAATAAAGCTTGAAGACATCATCATCGTGGACTTATTTCCAATGTTGACCGATAAATGGGTGAAAAGTCACCCCGATGAGCGCAAAAAAGCAATTGATGAAATGTTTGCGCTCACACTTGATTTTATTTACACGTTCAAGCCGCCGGTTATCCTTTCGTGCCAATCTGTCAATTTCCAGGGGGCAAATGTCTGGGCGTCACTGAAGCACGAGGCGGCTGAAAAGCTACGATCATCGATACGAGGTGCCGAAAACAAACGAGTATCAGATTTCTCACACAAAGAACATGTTACCCATATTGTACATGGCTTCCATCCTTCTGCAATGCACCGTATGCCCCGCACGATACCTGGCCGAGCGACAAGGCTCGAGCGAGAAGTCTTGCTGGGTCGGATAATCTCTTCTTTATTCCAACCGTACTCAGTATGGCGAAATAATTACATGCTCAGGAACCGCCAGAGTATTAAGAAACGGGCTATCAACGTACACCTGCGCCAAATGAAGAATGAACTTGACTAGATCCATGAAGAGGGACTTGCTATGGGCATATCCCAGGAGCCAGACATTTCCCCCACACTTGCTGAGTGGAAAGACATCGATAATGCGTTGGATGAGATGTCGAATCAACTGTCACTCACCAAAATCTAGGTATTTATGACTTCTGAGAGCGCTATCATCTAGCCAACCGGACTGATCCAGCACATAGTAATGAATGTGCTGCCTCTCAGATGAACGTGCGAAGAACATTGGCCATTTTCTTTATCACTGATTATCTCTAATGAGAATGACGAGCTTGTTCCTTCCTAGATTCAGCTCATATGATCGCAATAAGGCTTACGGATCTCATCGATGTTGATGTAGGTCTTTTTACACACCGCTCATGTGATGATTAGTTAGTTAATTGACTGTACATTTTGCTTATTAATTGTGTCTACCAGATTGTCAAAAGTTCGGACTGTTGAGATCTTCCTGCCCATTGCTCTTACCATGAATCTTTTAAACTGAGACTTAAAAATGTCGAAAAGTTTAGGCCTTCAATGGTCCAAACTGTGACGTGCTATTTCCTGCAATGGAAGCAGAGTTCATTCTATTCAAAATAACTAAGATAGAGAGGGAAAGAATAAGCAAGTTGCAAAGTGGGAAGCAGCCCATTGATATAGATGCCACTTTACAAACAATGCAAACTTCCATCATCTCGCTTAGCTATTGAGTAAACAATCTATCTAGCAAACAATAATAATGCAAACAGCAGATAGTCACCGATCCGTAGAGTCATAAAACAGATAATCATGCAGATGGGGACACAAACGAGTATCCTCGATCTTAGGCGTAGACCGTACTCTTTGTATAGCATTGCTGTGATAGCATAAGTAGACGGGCCACATTAGGTAGTTTTGAAATATGCTTCTCAACTTTCCGTTGGCGTAGCACTATCTTGACAGCTTGGTAGGACCTGCGCAACCTATTTGATGAGCCGACGTCTTGTAGACTATCCTCACAGAGCACGTTCAAGACATCCACAGCCTCTTTGCAGAATCGTAAGCTTTGTAAAGCATGTCGACAATTTGTCATGGCTAATGCGACAGGGTATCGTGTCAGGTCCGCGTCAACATCAGCCATTATGGACCCGAACACTTCGATCTCTCGTACTAGCCACTTGAGATGAGCAGGAGCGTCGCGTATTGCATCCCAGTAGTCTTTCAATGTCTGAACCAACTTCCCGACCTGGATTGCAAGGGTCGCGAATGTGATGGCGCTAGATAAAACTCGAACTACTTCAGCCATGGAGTCGACATGTGAAATTTGAATTGCTTCGTGTAATCGAGAACCTAGCAGCCTGCGATGGCTTCAAGAGAGCTTGCAGAATTATATGAGGTAGGTTATTGTTCGCGGTTAGGGGAAATGATTGCGATTTAAAAGCTTTGCTGCGCGTTGTCATTTATCTCTCATTCTACTAATTAAGCGCTGGCTCCAACAGGGGGGTACCCTCACCCTATTGAGCGGAATCTTTTAGCGTCAAGCCCCATTCGGTTTGTTTCATACGTCTTGGGTCAGGGAATCTCCCCATGAATGCTCTCCTTACACTACTTCATGCATCGCGATATGGGGCAAAGTTGTGGTAGCTCTCAATGCAGTGGTCGCGCGAGTCGGGTGATTCACCCCGATTCTCATCTTATCTATTCATTCTTCCATCCTGTCATCCGTCACGTAACACCGAATTAATTCTATCTATGATTCTTTCCCATATAAAACCTGGTGCATACGACCATAGGGTGTGGAAAACAGGGCTTCCCGTCCGCTCAGCCGTACTTAAGCCCATTATTCTATACAGTCAATAGCTAATACGCCTTTAGCACCTAAGCGGCACTCTAGGGTGAGTATAGGTGATATAGGTAAGAAGTCTCGATACTAGGGTGACAGAGGTAAGAATAAGTGACAATTGACTAAGCAAAAAGCTATGGATTTCAAAAGACGACAGAGGAAAGGCGATGGCAGAGCCATGATGATAAGAATACAGGCCAGCAATAGTCAAAATTCAAGGCACATGGCGAGAAGTCAGCAAATGCTGTCAAAGGAGTACAGCGGAGTTATCAGCATACTCTGACAGAAAAAGCAAAGAACCATCAAGGAAGATGCAGAGAAACGGAGTGATTCAGCCTGAGCTTCATCGACTCGACGACATCTGGCATATTCAAAGCTACTCCGATGCGGTTTCCCTCGTGGATCACATCAGCAAATAGTATTCCTGCAACATCTCTGTCGGCAGAGATCACGAAGCTGCCAGAATCGCCATCCTCCAGGAAATCGCCATCCACACCCGTGATAACATATTCTTCGGTGATATGGGTTGCCATTGATATTTCAGCGCCATCGATTTCATATCGTCGCCCTTTCCACAGACAGACGCTTTTCGCACCATTACAGATGCCCCCAGTCACCTCCGTGGTACGACCTTTCTTGAAGTAGTACTCATCAGTCTGTAGTTCACCAAACTGTGTGATAGAGCTGTTAGGCCGGGGAAGAAAGGTTGCAGATCCACCAGATAGGAGATTAGTCGACGTGGGCCTCTGCTTCCGCGGGATGTCAGGTACTATGTTCGGGCGGAAGTACCGTTGCTGGGCTTCGGTTGTAAGCTCGACGAATGCCCAATCAAGGAACCGTTTGCCATGGACCAATAGTCCTGATGCAAATCTGACTTTGCCGAGAACGTATGGCATAGACTTCACAACATTTTGTGTCTGGATCAGACTAGCGTCGGCGACGTCGAGGTCCTGGAGCCGCTGCCGAGAGGCTTCTCTGGGTTCTTCTCCGGCGAGAAGCCGCAGCTCAATGGTCTCTTCGACCCGAGCCTTCTGGGATGCGAGGCTTTCTCTGTAGTGCTGAATATCCGCGAGTGTACGGTCTCGGTCCACCTGGGCGATAGACTCGATGATAGTTGCATTTTGGTCGTCAGGGGGGAAATTGGCGGAAATTCCAGTGCGATCAACCTCATCGCGGAAGGGAGTGTGTGCTGTTGGTCTCACAACATGGTAGTTAGTTAGAAACCCAAAATGGGCCCGGTCGTCATATCTTAGTTCAACAAAACCGCCCAGAGTTCCAGCATTCTGATCACCGCTGATTCCAATTGAATCACCCATCGCCACCCAATCTCTGTCATCAAACCGATCTCTGAATGAGATGGAAGCATCATGTTTCAGGAGATTAAGGGTTCCCGGCAGAAACTCCACGTCAACAAGCAGAGCTGACACCTTCAATGAAAGTTGTCCGATGATCCGGGCCCGAATTTCGTACCAGTTGGCCATGAGTAGTGGCTGGACGAAAATCACAATTCCAGGTCGCGCCGAGCGAATGTCAGGGCCACCGACGTTGAACGGGCAAATCATTTGCCAGTTCTCCCCCACTGCAGAACTCATCGTTTCCACAATACTGTGCTTGAGCGTGTGAAAGGCGGAAACCACTGCACTTGTTGAGGCAATGGGATACAGATGAGGTGGAGAGAAGTGGTCTCCGTTGAGAACCTCGACGTGCACATTCGTAAGGAAATTCTTATGAAGCAGCTTGACAAGGCTGTCTTTGATAGGCCCTAAGCGGATGAAGGTTGACCCATCACCTGACACCGTAACGCGCAGCAAAAAGAAATAGCTGCCTGTAACTCGTGCTTTCAGGGTGTGGTGGAAAGATTCTGTGGGTATCCGGTGTTGACTGAGGATTGCGTCGATCTCAGGCCGAAGATGTCGTGTTGGATTTTCTTCTGCAGTGAGAAATTCGGTCTTCATTTCTGAGATGTCATGTCCGTGGAATGTGTTGCTCCGAAAGGGGTCTGTGCGATAAAGAAACTCCTCCAGCCTCATTTCACCTTCATTGTCCTCTGACTCCCTCAGAAGCCGACGCCTCTTCCGCGGGCTTGGCGGGCCTGAAGAGGCGGGACTTGGAAACTCACGGGGCTTGTAAGTGGACATTCTGATCTGAAAGAAAACAAATGGATGAACTGAATATTTCTGCTGATGAAGTTGGGAGAGGAAAAAAAGAGAAAAGAGAAAAGAGTTGAGTGGGCTTCCAAGGTGAATTCTAGCTTTTCGGACCGCTCCTCAGTAGGGCGTAGGCATGCGTCCACAATACTGCCAGATGACATGTAGACACGTGAGCTGTTTACCCGTTCAGATGTCGGCAACCTCCCGACATTGATTATCGTACCTTGCCGTCTCAAATTTCAATGACTTCTGAAATCCGCCGAGGACGACTTGCCAAGTGAGGCAAAAGTCAGCACGGACGATTGCATGCAGACCATAACACCAAACCAAAATAGAATCCACGCCTTAGGGTCCTTGATAGTCTCTTTTAATTAGACCACCGAGAAAGATTTTTGTCACCACCGTCTCGATCCTGCGCTATGCGTAGAGATAGCATCTGTCTCCCCCGAGCGTTGAGAAATCATGCATCCTTGGGCCCATTCGGCATCAGAAAAAAAAAAAATGCCACCCCGGCTGCAAGAGTTATCCCACCATGATTAATGAATGATACGTGCCAGAGGGCTATCGTGAGTGATGTGTTCTTGCTAATCCCGTATATCAGACAACAGCCTAGTACTCGAGCCAGTCCATTTATTGAAGCCTGTAACGCGGTTCGGGCATTATTTTCTTGCTTGCAGTACTATATACTCGTTATTGTCATAAATGCTAGGGAGATAGTACCTTCGCTGAATCCGAGAAGAAAACGTACAGCAGCGAATCCGCCAAAGGTTTGAGGTGCAGCCAGACATATGTAGATGATGCCCTAGACAATTCTGTGCAAGTAAACGCTGTCAGCATATGAAATGATATGACACGAAGGCCGGATGAAAACTCACACGGTGGTACCGACGAATTTGTTTGATAGAAGTCGACTCATTAGATAAATAAAGGGGTACTCAGAAATCAGTTGCCCAACGTAGAAAATGGAGCTTGACCATGAGTATTGCGAGCTGGTCATGTTGAGATCTTCGATCAAGCCGAAGATGCCAGTATAACTCAGACTCTACTTGTTAAGATATTGGAGGAAAAAGATGAAGCATATCTATGTTTGCCTATTAGCTAGTGTATGGCTGGAATGAAGGACGAGAACCACTTACCAAAGGCAGAATGACTGTGTTAATCTTGCGTAAAACGGCTTTCTCTTCCTCGGCAGTGTAGGAGCCCCGGAGCTCGACCAATTCACCGGTCATTCGATCGGACTCCTTATTTGCGATATCCTTGCTGAAGTTGTCTATTGGGATAAATACCTGGCAAAGGCGGTTCAGTGCAGTGATTTCAGGTCGATTGGAGACCAACCATTCACTAAATATATACAAAGGGATGTTTTATATCAGAGACAATCCCCAGATTTCCCCTTAGCTATAAAAGAGGATCCTTATCTCCAATCAATTCGGTAAAAGATCACCGTGTGGAGTTGGTCGTCAGTCCGATAAAGACGGCAATCTGCCTGTCAACTTGCCGATGTAGTTAGATCCGATGATCCCCGCAATGCTCAATCATGTCACCTCTTTTAGGAATATTTAACCTCTTGATCTCTTGAATGAACAGTATATCGCAATATCTCATATCGCATCAATTCATCATGGCACAGAACCTCCCCAGCTCCGATATCAAACCGTAGACCCGCCCGGCACCCAAGGGATACAAATTCACCAATGCCAATATTGTTGATGTCGCGTCAGGCACAATCATAGAAAACCAGACACTTATCGCCACGGATGTTAAGATTACCATCTAGGCCAAGAATCATCCGCACCCGCACCAACAGAACTCGAGACCGTGGATTACCAAGGCAAATATCTTAGTCTAGGCCTGTTCGATGTATATATCCATTTATGTGCAATCTTAGGTTTCAGTGGCTTATCTAAAGCCTTCGAAAATCTAAATAATATATATCTATTACGGCATCTATATACCGTATCTAGACCTGGCAGTGACCCTCCGGGTGGTCCATTACCTTGGACCCTCCACCCGCCCCTCCGAGGGTCAGGGTCGCTCTGACCCTGGTTCTATGGGGGTCGTATGCGGGTGACCCTCTATATATCTTAATATCTACAATTAAATACTTCGAATACTAGATAATACCTAAAAATACAAGGTCAAATTATATATATTATACAAGTCACGGGGTTAACGTAATTCCCAAGCGAGCTGCGCACCCCACCTAACCCATTGAATTTAAATGCATATATTTCAACCAGAACGCCATTAAATTAATTAAACTAAAAAGAATCATTTATCTGGACACCTATTGATCTTATGCCCTGTCTTATTACACCCACTATACCTTGGTACAGCCCGTGGACGTGGTTCTAACCCTGATTGAGTGCTTCCGCTCGGGGGGTCTAGGGGTGTTTCTGATGCTTCCACCAACCTAGCAATCATTTCAGAAGCTTCTTGGACCGAAAGACCCTCTGCGGCGGGTATCTGCCGTTTAGATCGGGTCCGCTTTTGCTTCTTCTTCTCATTTTCAGCGCGTAAATCGCTTACTTCTTTCTCAAGAAAAGCGGCAGATTGTATGGTAATCTGGCAGGCTTTTAAAACCTGGTTAATTGCCGAATTGAGCGGGCTTAGAGGGCTTCTTGATCTCATCCGAAGCAATGCTTTAATAGACAAAGCTTGCTTTTGTAATTGAATATAGTTTGATGGTGTTTTTGGGTCCTAATCGCTACCCCGGCTAGGGGGGGGGGTTGGTGTTCGAAGACAAATATTCAGTTTTAAAAGGACCCGATCGGGTGAAAAAGGTATTAAACCGGCTACTGAGAAGCTATTTTTAATCGTCTCCGATTTAAAAGCTTTAATTCGTGCAGAGGGGTATGCTTCGAGAAAGTCAAGTTTATCAATGTGGTTAATCCTTTACCGCATTTTCGTTTTAACCAACCGACTGTACAATCGTTTTAGGACCATAAAACAGCCGATATCAAGTAGTTGTAAAAGGTAAGAGGAATACAGTGGCATACAAATTAGTATAATATCGTTTTCCTCATAAATTTAGTCGAATTAAGGGGTTAAATAGCTTCTATGGCTGTTAAGTACCAAAAGTCGATACCTTCCTACTATACGCGATAAAGTCGATAGTGTCAGAATCTAGGATGAATACTGTTATTTTTCATTCCTGATACAGTTGGGTCACGTGACTGACCAGGCTGGTATTTCTGCAGAAAAACCAACTCAGATGGTTTTTCGCCCGAAAAACCAGTCCCGCAGTTTTTCGCCCGAAAAACATCCTTTCATTTTGTTTTGTTTATTTTGATTACTAAGTTATCCATAAGATTATCATATTTTAGGACTATTGTTATTTTTAGAGAGTTAGAGAATTTATTAAGATTTTTCTGCTACATATACAATCGCCTTACTACCGTTTTTCCGTTAGTTATAAGCCTAGAATCGCTTTAAACTTAACTCTTACAATTTTTCAACATTTTATCCTATTTTTAGATATACCATTTAGTCAATATTAAGATACCTAGCCATATACCGGGATACCCCTAAAAATAAGACTTAACCCCGAAAGTAATAATAACTAATCACAATCGGAATTTATTTAAGACTACGATTCAGATATTATAGTAGATTATTATCCTCTCTCCGCGATACCTTCTTATATAATTTTAAAGGATTCGACCAATTAGGTACTATAGCTTATAACCATTTAGGCTATTGCCTAAATATATAACATTTAGGATTATTATAACTCTAAACTAGAAAAGGAACTAGATCGACTAGTTATACTAATTATACTAAAATAGGAAGATATTAAGAAGGAGTATAGAAATAACTAGTATAATATCTTTAATATTCTAAATAGTAAATACTAAGAAAAGAAGACTACTTATAATAGGGGTCTCTAAGGATTTAATATAGTAGTAAACGCTATTAAATCAAACGTTCTCCTATCTTATTAGGTATTCCTAACTTAGGATTCTCCCTAGGCACTACTTCGAAATTTACGATAGTACTATACTCCTAAGTATAACCCTATATATAGATTAAATCTAAGAGTAGAATAGAATAATCTAGACTAAGGTCTAGACTAGAATATAAATATTAAAAAATAGTTACTAAAATAGGAAACTCTATATACTTATTATATTATAGCTAAAGTCAGTGAAGTAAAAGATATAGTAATATAGTTCCTATAAGTAATTATAATAATCTTACTAGAATTCTTCGCTATAAGACTTAGAGATATATAGTAAAGTCTATCCTAAGAAAAGATATAATAAGAAAGAACTATTAAGTTTAGTAAGCTATTATCTTACTATAAGACTTAATAGGATAGTACTATTAGTAGATAAGCTATATAAAAAGGTATATTAAAAGCTATTTTCTCAACCTAGTAAGGATATTAAGAAACCTAGCTAGTATCTACTAATAAGAATAGTAGAACTAGAAATAGTAAATAAGCTAAATCTATAAATAATATACTATTCTTTAGAAGAAAATATCTCTATAGATATAGTAGTAAATATAACTACCTAGTATAGAAATACTAAAGGGCCTACCTAGATCTTATTCTAGAAGGGTATACCTAAGACCTAGAATATAAGAAGGCCTAGGATAAAGTAATAAAAGAGGATCCTATATAGAAAGTATTTATTAATAAAAGATATAAAGAACTAGGAATAGTACCTAAAAAGAATAGAAGTTAGTAAGTAAATACTATAATATAAAGCGAAGAACTAGGATTTTTTATAATAGAAGAAGAAATACTAGATACTATCTTCTAAACCTACGAGACTATACTAATAAATAAAAGATAGCTAGTTAATATAGGTATATAAGTTTATATTTATAATAATTATAATCTCTTTATTACCTTTAAAGAAACTAAGAGTATAATTAAGGTTAGTAATATAGCCTTAATAGTTACTAGAATTAGAAAAGTCGAAATTAATAGTATTAATCTAGTTACTAATTAGATAAAGAAAATAACTTTATATAATACTAAGTACTCTCTAAATTTCTATATAAACCTTATTACTTATAACCTTATATTTAAGAAAATAGGTACTTTCCTAAATTTTAAAAAGAACTAGATTAAGAAGAATAGAATACTATTATATAAAATATATAAGGAATAGAATCTCTTATAGTTATCTTAACCTTAGGGTTTTTAGTTAGGGTTTAAAATCCCTAAAATATAAAATAGTTTATTAGTACTTACTATATTAAAAAGATTAGAAAAAGAACTAAAATCCAAAGCCTTACTTAAGATATAGTATAGATAATTAGGCTATATTAGAAAGAAGAGAATTAAAAAACTCTCTAAGATAATAGAGGGTATAATGATTACTAGAAGTAACCCTAAGAATTAGGTATATAAAGCTTACTAGCTAATAGATATACTAAAGTAGATATCTTAGAGAAGAATTAGTATAACCTATAGTATACTAGGATATATATATTTCGATCTAGTATAGAATTAGCTAGTATAGAATAGATATATTTAGTTAATATATTTTTACCTTAATAGAATTAAATACTACTTTATATTTATATATATTAAGAAAAACGACTATTAAATAGTAGTTAGGAAATTCATTACTCTAATTAAGAACTAGCTAAATATTAGGATCAGAGTTTTCTACTATAATAATAAACGGAGTATAGGTAATAAGATAGAAAATATAATTAAAGCTAAAGGGTATATTATTAAATACTTACTACTAGACCTACTAGAAATAAATAGCCCTATAGAGAGATTAGAAGGGGTAATTATTAAAATAGTAAGAACCTTTATTAATAATATTAATCTTCTAAAAACCATATAGATAGAAGTAGTATATATAGTAGTATATATTATAAATAGGGTACTAATAAAGATTAAAAACCAATAGGTTATACTATAGTTAGAACTAATAAAACTTACTATACCTAATAGGATTAAGTACTAAAGGATTAATCTATTAAACCTTAGGGTATATAGATACTTAGTATACTTATAAATTATTAATTCTAAATATATCTAATCTAAAAAAATGGTACCTTATATAGAAATTAGCTATCTAGTAGGATATATATTAAAGAACCTATATAGAATTTGGTTCCTATATAAAGGTAGTAAGAATAGAAGAGTCGATATTATAAGGGATACTATATTCAATAAATCTCGATAATATAAATTATTAGAGAAGCTAGAATTTAAAGATATAATTAGTATAATTACCGATAGTATAGAGAAAATATACTAGCCTATAGTACTAATAATAGACTAAGCTTAAGCTAAGCTAGGAAGTTAGATATAAATACTACTATTAGTTACTAGAATAGCTCTCTATAATAATACTAAGTATACCTA